CAGAATTTACTTCCCATATAACTTGACTAAAAACAAATAGGAAATAAAAGTTTCTGTGCTTAACATTTAGATGGAACTGTAATAACAGCATTAGAAAATCTTACAGTTAGATATTAAACATTTTTTTATGTTCTTAATAAGATTTCTGTGTTTAAAAATTCTTCCTACAATGACGATACAATGCACCACAAATAGAATTATCGATTTTGCATAAATCTATGAATTATAATTTACATCTTTTGTTTAACGTGTATATACAAAATTAATGTTGCTTTAATGCATTTTGTAAGTAAAAAATAAGCAAACAAGATATTACAAAGAGTTATAAATGTTAAGTTATTTTTGTGTTATAATATTATAAATGTTATAAGACATCGTGAAAGCAATTTATATAATTTACGAATATTTATATCAATATTTAAACTTAATTGTTTATTTTTTTGAAAAATACTGTTTTATAAAATATTGTTTTTACAAATATAGAGAGAGAGAAAGAGAGAGATAAAAATATAAAATACATTTAGTTTTCAATTTCATGAAAAACTTAATTATTTCAGATAATTCAAAAATAATCATGTATTATCCTTTATCATTAATTATCCCATCTCGGTATCTCCATACAAAACGAGAACCGTCAAGCTTTCATTTTCAAATTAACAATTAATTATCGTCTAATTATTAGTCAATGCAGACAGTAATAAAGTTCTCTCAACATATGTGGTGCGTCAACTATAGAAACAATCTATTACACATATATACTTTATTCGATAAAATGAAGCATCCGTCAGTATTCTTTAAAATAAAACAATATATAGTGTAACATTTAAAGCTAGAGAAAGTAAGTTATAGAAAGAGTTATAAAATTTTATAATTTACAAAGTTTCATAATTTTTTTTGCTTTTTATTCATGGCAAGTGATAAAAATAATTTCGATGTAAAATAATACAAAATATATGATACAATATGATTTGTATTAACATCACGAAATATTGTAAAAATATTATTTTTCATTTGTGAATCTTTCCGTTTATTTAGTTTATTATGTGATATTATTATTTGATTAAATTTAATTTTATTTAGTCTGTAATAATTCAATTATTATAATTTTACTGATTGAAAGAGCATTCATATAGTGATAAATTCATATAGTGAAATGTAGCAATTAATTATCGCCCAATTATACAATTTATAATTCCAAATGGACGAGAATCAGAGAATTAAAATGTTTGTAAAATGATGCAGTTACATCAAGATCTCATTTCTGGAAAGACGCCATTATTCTTATCTCATATTTTTATATATGAAAAACATATATATAATCATGTAATTTTATATACATTACTGTACGCAATAATAATATTCTAATAAAGATATATGGACATTTTTTTTAACTCAAATAATATAAAGCATTTTTATGATTATTCTTAGAGAGAGAGAGAGAGAGAGAGAGAGAGAGAGAGAGAGAGAGAGAGAGAGAGAGAGAGAGAGAGTCTGAAAATTTAGTTTAAATTTAAAAAGATTTAAATTGTAACTGTTTCGCAAATAAGCATTTCAATTTTTTGTCAGATTCATATGTAAATGTTGAAATTAACATAACGTGATACATTTCGATGAATTCATACAGATTGTTGAAAAAAATAAAGGTTTTTTTAATTGCATTTATAGAGTGTGTAAAATATCTGTAATAATGTGCGCAAATTTAGAGAAAATGCAAGCTGTGATGCGAGAAAAAAATTACTGAATACGAAACTGCTAGTAGTCCGCAAATTCATTCAAGCTGTCGCGTCGCCACTTCAATAAAAAAAGAGAATTTCCGTATTCAAGTTTATCGTAGTGATAAAATTTCAATGTCAATCTTGCAATTATGCGTGTTATTCTCGCGCTATCAACATTAAATGCAGCTCAACCAATGTATTTCGATAATTATAAAATGCTTTACATTTTCGATTTTATTTTTCTATTTCTATTCAAGAAAGAATTGAAAATTGGCATTTTTTTTTAAGAAAGCTTATTTGTATCTCAAAGAAAGAATATAATGCGTTTAACATTCACGTTATAAAAGTTTATTGGAAAAATAGTGGCAGCGTAAAAACTATAGCGAGGTTATCTAACATTAAAAAATGAATGATCGTTCAACGTGCGCCACAGGGCAATTGCAGAAAGTTGCTCTATTTGTAAAAGGCAGAAGTTTGCTGTTATCAAATGCACGTGCCACGTGCGCATTTTAATCGCTTGTGTAATACATCATGAATTAATGTAATTAATATCATATGCAATACATAATTTATATGAAGTAATGAAAAGGATATTTGTAGTAAATTCAACGTCAACTTCCACTCATTAATCAATGGTCATCACAAACATATGAGAAAGTCGTATGTTTATAAATTCTATTTTAATTAAATATTTAACAAATATATATGTTCTCTCTCATGCAATATATTAAACTACGAATTTAACGACGCAGTACTTTTTAATCGTAACGCACACGTGCGGATCGATACAAACAGTGGATGTAAAAAATGTTTTTTAAAACGATAATTTTAAAAAACGCATGCATTCTATTTTAAAAGTAATAAAAACTTTAAAAATAGGAAAATTATTTAAATATTTTAATAACGTATCTCTAGCGTTTGAGAGAGGAATTACGGCATTGCAAGGATTAAATCGTTCGGTTGCATACTCGATTACGCCTGCATAATCGATATCACTTCATGACTTTGTAAAAGCAGAACTTTATAATTAGCAAATGTCGCTCGTGTAACAGGATGAACCTTTAATATCCGTTACAGCATGGTATTCTTAGAGCTGCGATTAAACTTGCCGTGCTTACTTTCTTCTATGATTCTTTCAATATTACGCCTACTCATTTGCTCATAAAGAACCTTGCAAGTCACAAGATTGTTTATTTCACAAGCGGCTGGAAATATCACAGTCAATTCTAGAAATATTATATTTATATTTTGTAAACAATATAAAAAGGTAAATCTGTCATTAATGCGCATTGAAAACTATATTGAGAAAAATGTAGACTCTTAAAAATTCTACTATATGAATTTTTAGAGTAACTTTACTAGTCACGTACACGGGATAAATAATTTCTCGTTTTATAACACAGTACGAAATATAATTTCAAAATTTATTTTTTAACTCGAAGATAAATTCATTGACAGAAAAAATTTTGAAAATGCTAGAAATGAGTCTGTTTTACGAGAGTATTATTCAGAATTATAATCTCGTGAAAGAGAGAGAGAGAGAGAGAGAGAGAGAGAGAGAGAGAGAGAGAGAGAGAAAGTACACTCAGCAATCAAATGATCTTCATATCATCGAGATGAAGCCATAAATCGGATATACAAAATGATAAACTCAACAACTAACAATAAACTCAATTTCATCGGTATCATCCGTTTCATATATTATATTAGTTTTCCGAGAAATGAACTATAATTGAAACGTTAAGAGAGCGATAAATTGATAAATCATATTAAAAAACTTTTTTTAATTAAATTTTTTTTATATTTAATATAATTGTGAAGTTAATCGCTGATAAAATTTACATCTAATACTAATAAAATAAATAAGTTCATTTCTCTAACTTATTGGATTTATAAAAGTGTATGCGCTTCAAAATTATCGAAACCTCGTGATACATATAAAATGAGAAAGCAATGTATAAAATGGAACGCAATTGTGCTCAATGTCCGGAAGAGGAGTTGAATTATAGAAGCGTGGAAATGTGCCCATCTCGTGAAATTGAACCGCATAATTTCATTGTTACGGACGGAGGAAAGACGCGAATCCGCACGAGATACTCACACTAGCCTATATAATTCTCTCGATACACACAAATCCTTCTCGTCACGAATTATCTCTATCGCGAATGCGATATATGATAGATATTCCCCTTTTTCACGTAGATATTCACTATTTTTTGATAGTTGGAAATCAATTGATTCTGTCAAAAAAAAAAAAAAAGAAAAAATTGCGAGAGTTAAAGTTCATTTAAAACTGTAATCTATTTCAGTAAAACTGCTCCGAATTGAATAATAATTAGAAAAGATTTTCACAAGAGAAAAATGCAGAGAAAAAAGTAAACGACTATTTAATATATTTTCAATATTATTATATACAAATATTACTATAATTTCTTACACATTTGAGAAATTTCTATAAATTTAATATGTTTCACGTGTTTCAAATCATCCACTCAAATTTACATGTTAATTCAACACAAGATGAATATGTTAGAAGGTAACACAAATATTATTTAAGAAAATAAACACAGAAAGGTAATACTGACAGTTTTGTAAATAAACGTAGAGGTATATTTTTCAAAAAGTGAATAATTAGAATTAGACTCTTGAGATATTAAACAAATAATAAATAAAGCAAAAAACGCAATTAAGAGCCTTAATACGCGGTAATTGATGCGATTATCTTATAAACATATATTTCATTGGCATATCTTACATAACTATAAAAACTGAATGTTTCGGCTCAATTCGAGCTATCCTCAACCGTTTCAAGTATATATTTTTCAAATTAACACATTTTATTCATGCAGCTTAGATTTCACGTTCTAAAAACATATTATTTTTATGTTATTTGTTCACTTATTCATAAATTACGTTTTCATTTTAACATTAAAAAATGTTGAACATTAATTTAACATAAATTATTTAAATAACATAATCCATTCACCCAATGGCGCTACAACCCAAGTCGAGTTCTGGCTTCCACAAATAACATAATCATATTATGTTTAATTAACACTCGAATATGTTTAAAAATTCAACGTAAAAGTTTAATAAGGACTTGAGTGGGCCGTTTCCAACAGAAATATGAAATGTTTTTTAGCGTATAATTTTGATATTATTTAATAATATTTAATGTTGAATGTGCAATATTAACTGGTTTATTTCTTTATATAAATGTTTGATATTTTGCGCAATAACTTTATACATTATCGTGTTAACTCAAATACATTTTTAATATTCCAGCTTGTAACGTATGGAGCGACGTGGGTAGTCCGCGAAAGTATCGGCCACCACGAATCGGCGACATTCCGCGGTAAGTAACTTCAAATTGCTTCTTTTACAAAAATAAAACTTGAAAAATTTCAATCAAAACTTTCTAACCTCAAGAAAATACTAACATTACATAACTGTAACTTTATAGTTTACTTAGCTATCTCGAATGATGATCGCGACATGAAAAAGTTTTATATATATCCATTTACGTCATGTTATATTCTTATATTTAGAACAGCTGTAATATCTCGAACTCTTTATGTATGTATTTTTGCAACGTTTATCGTTGATAATATCGCTCATCGACTCACTTAATAGCTAACTGAAAAAAGTGCCTCGGTTTCGAGGACGGGATAATATACGATGACGATGCACCCGCTTATGCAAACGTGCGATATAAATGCAGATGTATTTGAGCGAGCATATGTCTACAGACGCATGCATAATACGATGGATGAAGTACGCGTTGTATTGTGACAGTAGAAGAGATGAACCATAGTGGAAGTATAAGTATATTACTTCCACTATGAGATGAACTATGTAGTTTTCGCTTTTGTGAAATGACGACGCATGTCCCGGGAAATAGACGAATACGTCTTCAGATGGTCCTTCAGAAACAGATGCATGTATATGCACATTTGGACAATTTCAGTTTCAATTAATACCTCGATCAATGTTCTGGTTATAATACATATATATTAATCTGCACCTGGCCCAGTTTCGTATAAATGTAATCATCTAACTTGCTTCTGCAAATTACAAAGACTTTTAGATCATCCTCCATATACTAAATTAAATTATCAAATCATTATCAAATCATTTATCATAAATCAAGAACAAGACCCAGACAAATGGAGTACCAAAGCAACAAGACATGATTGATCGTTTCATCGATATTCTATTATACATTTTTACAAACATGGAATATTGCATTTTTGGCAATAAACCGTCCATTGATTAATTCCGACCTTCGACACCATCGTCCTGCATTTGCTTGAGGAAAGGGGCGAAAAAGGAAGTTCAAGGAGGATGACCTAAACTGCCATAATGCATCCCGGCATGCGAATAGATATTTTTAACCACATAACCGAAGCCGATCGATATGTACCAAGGCGGCAGAGATTTGTGTCTAAATAATTGCACTTTTGCCCTCGCTAACATTAAAGGTAGAAATTACGTTGAGTTATTTAACGTCGCCTCTACGTTGAAGATATTTGTTTCCTTTCGTCAGAGAAGTCTTTTAGGTCACTAGCCGCCTTACAATCAATCTGAGAAGAAATTTATCCGAAAATTTGCTATTATCTATGTATAATGCCACCGATTCGTGAAAGCATTGTTTTTCCCTTAATAAATAATAGCTCCGTTACGAACTGAATAACGATCCCGTCGATAAACATTCATTTGCTGAAGTAATGTTCTCGACAAACATCGCTTGCGGTACGGAACACTTCGCAATATATAGAAGCGACGGGAAGGAAAAATAAGCACTAGGAAATCGCAAGAGCGGGCAACGCGAGATATTTTAAACTCCAGCCAAGCATCGATCGATGACCAGACCATTACTGCTTAAATTATTGAATCTTGCGGGACTAACCGATACGAGATACGAACGCCGCTACGCGAGAGCAAATGCAGCAAACATCATAGTGATCTAGTCAACTCTTTCTATAAAGGTCATTTCATTTCTCCCGTTTTATTGTTTTCTTTATTTATTTATTTTTTTTTTTTTCTATTGTTTGCCACTCTCAGGTCGCCGGAGTTACATTTATCTCACCGCGACACGAAGCGACGACAATGCACTGCGCAATATATACTCGCCCGCGTATTCCTGCGGCGACGTAGCTTCGGAATCGCACGCGACGTTCCAAATGCCGCCTGCATTGTCCGAGATAGGATGATCGCGAGAGTAACGCGGTTACGAACAACTGTGTCAACGGGATTTCGATAGACGAGTTTCGTAATATATGTATCGCATCATGTATCAACCGGTTGACGTAAACTGTTGATATATTGCATGCGTCATATCCGCATATTATTCTTAAATTAAAGTGTTAAAGATTGGCCAACCTTGAATAAAATGTAAGCTTCGTCGATTTTCACGAATTTTCAGTCGGTAAAATTATAAACGACAAAATTAATAATAAAGTTGTATTATATTCATATACACCGTATATTTGTAATCTTATTCAAGCTTAAACGTATTAAACTCGAGCTTAACATCCTTGAAAGGATGCTCAAATTTCTACAGGGAAATTGGAGCGCGAGCTGTATCAATTGCGAGAAACAAATGTCATGAATAAATACGAGAGATGTTCCTCTTCTAGAATACTAACCGCGATATTTTAGTACCAGAAATACGACATCTCATTTTCGAGAATCGTATATAATATGTCAACGTGTCTAAAGTTATGTTCTCAGTTCTCATCTTAATAACAATTTTCTTTGAAGCTACCAAAATGTTTCTAAAATTTTCGCATAAAAGAGTAATATTTTCCCGTATGTCGACAAATGTAAATTTTGACAATTTTGAAAAAGACTTATGATATGAAGAATTTCTTTACATACTCATGTATAGAATAATATTATAATGTATCATGTTACACTTTTCTTATTTAAAATTTCTTATTGGCAAAATTATGATATAAATTATGTATAGAATGCATTGTAAAAATTTGAAAGATTGTTATTAATAGATGAAGTATTCACTATATTTAATTTATCTCATAATCTCTCAGAAGGGGGAGAACTCTTACATTAAAATGAATAACATTTCACGTTCCATTCTGTGCATGTATGTGAACAAATATTTTGTATGAAGGCAATGTTGGATGTCATTCAGTGACGGTCCATGTTATAATATACTTTTATTTTCCTACAAAAATTCGATTCTCGAGAAGAACAATTTTGTCATCAGTGACAATTTGACAATTTGATAAAAGGCGAGACAGTTACGAAAGAAATTTGAGAAAAATGATAGAAGATACGTGAGGCATAGAAAGAGGACAAAAAATGTGCGAGGTTGAACCGCGTGCGCGAAAAATCGTCAGTTCTTGCGCTTCGTTGAGTTTGCACTCGCAGAACTTTCGGTTCGCTGGAGCGCATCAAAGCCGAGCTTTTCATCTACGGGTGGATCAACCTGCATCTGACGCGCACTTCTGCAATGAGCACCGCCGAGTTTTCATCGCTATTTCTCAAACGAGATAAAACGATACCAAAAATAAAACCGCACTGTTGCTTCTAATATCCGGAAATCTCACACTCTTTTTTTACAATATGTTCATTTTTGTAAAAATTATAAACAATGGAATTAATTAGATATGCCAGATTCAAGTGTTATTCTCCTAGTGTGACATCGAAAGGCTAATTTTTGTTAATGAATGTGTATACTGCCTATTCTAGTTTCCTCTCAATTTACGCATAAATCATACATATATTATCAGCAATTTTACAAATTACGATTTTATCATATCTTAAAAGTTTTTCTTTTAAGAAAGCATCCGTTGAAATTTTTTGCATTCTATTCACATCGCAATAATAAATCGATCAACGCATCAGAGACAAACGAATTTTTGAGAAGATACTTAATCGGAAATATGTGAAGATACTATGATAAAGCATCGTTTGATGCATCAGTGTACAATCAACTGGTGTGATATACATGAAATATATTCGAAAACTTTGTATGTTCTTCAAAGAGCGCTGTCCCTTCAATAGAAATTGATCGAGTCGGTATCCGATTTCCTCTATAGTCGTGGTATACAATTACGAGAGCTCTTTACGTATACAAGAGTTTTGAAAGGTGAGAATTATGAGGATATGAAGGTATTGATAAAAATGCGGGAGAAGCAATAAAAGTATATAAGCTGTTTCTTGATTAACATTTACGTAAGCAAAGATTTTCTTTTGAAAAAAATCTTAAGTCAGAATAAATAGTTTTAGCTGAAAGGTTTTTTTTATGTGAAGTAATTTTGAAGAATTCTTATCTTCAAAATATATACTTATCAAAAATACACTTTATCAAAAATTGTACTGAAAATTAAAGATGCTTCAGAGATATTTGTGTATCTACACTGTTAAAAATTGCATGAAATTTAATATACTTTTAAGCTATTTAAGCACAATTTAAATTTACTTAATTTCATGACATTACATTAAATTTAATATATTTATAACTGAAAAGTATTCGTGTATATACGAAATTTAATGTATTTTTCATAAATTTAATGTACACGTTCATTACATTTAAGTAATTACAGTAACTTAATGTTTAGTTAAATCATTCATTACTTTTAATTTTGTTCATAATTACGAGCTTCATTTACATGTAAATAAAGCTCGTGATTACAGTGTATCAAAAATACCGTCAAAAATTGAATATTTCTAGATAACATAAATATTTCTTTCAATTATAAATATTAGATAAAAATTTTTCTTAAGATAAAAATAGGTACACTTGAAAGCTTGAGAGCTAAAGTCACAACTCAATTTAATACATGTTAAAAGATCACAAAAGATCGTGCGACTGCGTCATCGTAAAGTCAATGAAATTCGAGCCAGAAAGCGGCTTCAATGGTTATGACTTGAAATTATGACAGTCTCTTCTTATATAATATAATGTCTTTCGTCAAGTAGTTCTCCTCGTCTTTTGCCTTATTTAAGTTTTCCTGCAGGCAATGCACGCTTTCATTACAGAAGCCACAGCTTGTCAGAATATCAAGAGATTAAATTCTAGAATACCAGACTTGTGTCACTCTCTTTCTTTATCTCTCATTGTATCGCCACTTGTTTGACATACCGATGTAAATTCTACGAATTTGGAACTGCATTAAAAATTAAAAAATACTATCGTTACATCTCGTTTTTGCTATCTTCACAAAATAAATATTAAAACTAGACGAATAAATGGTAAAAAAATTAATCAATATACAGGACAGATTTTAATTTCAATAAGTCATATTATAATACGATGATTATTTTGGTACTTTTTTATGAAACTGAATAGATAAAAGGTCAACATGAGACCCTGCGAGATACCATCTC